TTAAATGGCAAAAACAATCTCATAGTTTTATGCATGCATTTTATATATTCGAGAAAAACTATCACCATTGCCCTATGAAATCATGGGTGCCCAGCAAAGTGGGAGCATGTTTTGGGGTACCCACAAAGATTAACCTCTCACCTTCCACACATGGATGAAGTGAAGAGGAGGCAGCAATCAGCAGGTTTTTTTTTGTCAGGGATTAGATTAACAATAATCTCACATTACAAAAGTCAAAAGGATGAATTCAGACATATTTACAAGAATGATTTCTAAGGATAAACATATTAAAATATTTAGCCTTAAAAAGCTTTAGATTCCTTGAAAAAAAAAAAAAGGTAGAATGACAGTGATTATGCAAAGGGATTATTTTATGCAATCGTTTTATAGGACATTAATTGACAAGAATAGATAAGGATGCTTGAAATTGAATTCCACAAAATAATATCAGAATGAATTAAAGAACCCTCTGGAGAAATGGTTTTATAGTGGCATCCTAAACAAAGAAGTTAAATGCATATTTAATCCATAAAGTAAAAATGCTTTCATTTTACTTGAAAAAACTACTAGGCTATTAACAAATCACCATGCAACCCATTTATTTTTACAACAAGCCTGTCTCAATCTATGGATTCTGCTTTATAAACATTTTAAGATATGCTGTTACTATAGAAAAGATAATGTATAAAAGATAAGACTTCACAAGGCCATAGTAAGGAGATACCTATTACAGCAATGGGCCAGACAGAAAAAGGAATCCCAACAATGAATTGAATCGCTTATTACTCAAATAAGCGAATTAGAAACAAAACTCAAAAGATCAGTGTCAGATGAGACATACACCCAGCCAACACATCTGATAACCCAGCTACACACGATCCTAAATATTTGAGTTGTCAGAACTGAGGCACACAAAAAAATATTTTACAAACTTGATAACAAGAGCGGTAAAGTTTGTGTGAAGGCACTACAAAAGGCAAGACTGTTCATATGTAGCTAAATTGAGACTAGTGGATGGTTCTAACACACAACTGCGGGAAGACATGCTATATCTATTTAGGGACTACTATTCCTCCCTATGCAACAGTAAAAAAACAAATGCAAATTGCAAACACTGCCATACATCAACATAAATAGACAACTTTCTCCACAATAACATAGACACAACTTTTAGAGACATCACTCTGAAAGAGTTATAGGATCCCCAGGATTGGATGGGCTAACCATTATTATTACTGACACTACATTTTCTGCCAACCTGTAATGCACTAATTGATGGAACAGAAGTGCGCAAACACACGCTTATTCAGAATACAATATGCACTATTGGGCTAGACAAGAACCACAACAGGGTGATTTGGACTAAAAAGCTTGGGAAATATAAAGCCCATGACTACAAATAATTGGCTGGAGTCATAAAGGAATGCCTAAAAGACCTGAATTCTGTGGATTGGCAAACTCAGATTTTTTAGCAATTTGTTTAGTTCTGCTGAATGACCATTAGGTATAATGCCATTAAGATGTTGGCACAAATGCTCATAAAGAGACTCGGAATAGGTAAATAATACCCAGACCAAGTAGGGTTTGTACTGGGGAGAGAGGTGAGGGATGGAACCATTAGAGTAATAAACCTTATACATAGTGTTGACGGAGCACCTGCCACCCTGACTGGGTGCCTCTGCCAATCAATGCTTCCTAGTATCCCCGAGTACTTCCAAGCACTCCACCAGACACCATAGCCACCACAGACCCTTAGCCGCCATAGCTTGGCTGGGGTCTTGCCGTCCTCCACCCACCCTGGACCCATGTCAGGGATCCAGCTTCAAGTGGGTAGACCTCTCCTCCTGAAGAGAGTATAGCAGGATAGCTCTAGTGATATAGCTGGTATAGCTGTTCCCTACAAGCACGAGGCTAGGCTCTGTGTTGAGGGTGAAGTATAACTGTTTACTGGCAGCCACAACTGGTCTTATATGCAAGTCCCAATGCAAGGGCTTTCCATAACATATTCCAGGGGCATTCCCCACTGGACCTGAGAGGGGACAGTAACAAAGTAAACTTTGTAATTACATTGGCTCTTAGGTGCAGGACACTCCCACACAAAACAGGATAATCCCTATGCCTGAGAGATAATTGAGTCAGGAACTGTACTAAACTCTATCTACAGGCACAGGAAACATGTATTTTACAATACCCCAAATGTACCCCCAAAACACATGAACACACCACAAAAGTTATATCCCCTGTTAACCCCGATCTGGGGGACCAACATATCCAAAAATCACCTGCACCGGTTCAGGGGTTCAGGATTTCCATGGAAGTCATAATTTGTCTAGTTTGGTAGTTTAAAAACTGAACAAACTACAGAATATAGCCAATAGTCTTACCCTAGAGCCTGTTCCCCTCATCCAGACGAACGATTCCACCTAACAGTGCCTTTCTAAGTTGTGTAAAACCGAACGCAGGCGATGATCGAAGTCCACCAGTGTTTGGGAGTTTGTGTGTCAGATTTTAGTTCCAGGAACTCAACTACCAAATACCGCTGCCCTAGTTCATGCGAACAAGATGGCTTCCACCTCGTGGTTGTTCATGCATCTTATAATGCAACCCCTATTTTTTCCTTTGGGGGCCTCATGTTTGAGTTCCGCTTAAGGCCTCACATAGTCTAGAGCCGCCACTGATGCCAAATTATACAAATTTTTATAATATTTTGCACACATGGTGCTAATCTTCTTAGGGTGAGTATTTTTATACCCTCACCATTTATCAAATGCTCAATTCTGGACTGAAGTCCTGTGGCATAACTTGGAAGCTTTTATTGTCTTTGGCGTAAAAAGTTTGTTTTAATCACTTTAGCATCAGGGCTGTGTGATTCAGCTGAAATGCATTTATTTTGGATTTGACATCAAGTGTTCCTCAGCAAGAGATGAAGAAGGGTCAAATTTATTTGACAGATTTACATTATATAATTTCGTTTTTAAGTCTTTTAAGTGTTTTGATCTAGTTTTCTTCAAAAAAGAAGCTCGCTGAAGAAAATTACCTCTTCTAACTGCTTTATAAGCATTCCATAATGAAGAAATGTCCAAACTTGGGTCTGAAATTTCCCTTAAATAATTAATAGCTTTGTTTCAGCAAGGGATTTATTTTCAAGATCAGTGACTAATTAGTCACTTTATCTCCATTGCCTGTCTGGGTTGGACTGGAAGAATTCTTCTAGATATAACACTACGGGGGCATGGTTGGACCAGTTAACCTCTAGGATGTCTGAACAAATAATAAAAGGGATAACATTTACACCTGTCAAGAATCTATCAATCCAAGAATGCATATTGTATATAGGTGAGTGAAAGGTTTAGTCTCTCTCTCCTTCATATAAAATGTGCCAACAATGAAACAGGCCCTGTTAAAAGAAAAATTTGGAGGAAAGATTCACCAATTTTTAAGTATAAGAATTTTTGACGCTTCGATTTGAATCTCTAACTATGTCAATCTTGTGGTCAAACACAAAATTAGTGTCATTTTTTTTTTGTAATCCAGAAATAAAGTTTAAGGAATGGTGAAACATTAGGGTTGGTGGGAATGTCGAGCACATGAGGTTGGAGAGTGTATTTATTTCAGAGAGAAGTCAATATTTCTCTTCCCAGAAGGGAGTATTGGTTTTTAAATTCTGTGAAAGGAATTAGTTGACCATTATATAACAAGTTGTGTACATTGAGCATGTTGGATTGATGCCAATGTTTTAGATTAAGGTCAAGTGTGTATAGTTGTAATGTATTAAATGATGCTAAATATAGTTGAGAATATGGTTTGAGAAGTTTGAATACCCATAGTAAAGCATGAAGTTGTCAACATATTTTCCAATTTTGGGCATAGGCGCTCCAGGGACCACAACAAATGAGCTTCAGTATATGGAGTTAAATGTTCACTTTCTAAGTTGCACCATAGAGGAACCGTGGTTGCCAATGGTTGCTAAGATAGATGCCACATGTTAACTGGAACTCCCATACCCCCTATCTTAGGAGCCCTTCTAATGATTTCCATAACTACTATTGGAGGACTTTTTGTTTCCAAATAAGGGTGTAAAGAGAACATTGTACATTTTGTAAAATCGATTTAGACAGTTGAATCAGGAGGGTCCGGAGTAAATATAAGGTCAGTGGCAATGCTCTCATCCTAATGAAGTTAAAATGACTGATATTAAAAGGACTGCTGGAAGGGATTTGGTTGGATCCATGAGTGTTAAAAACGTGTAATCAGCAAACCGGGAAATTAGTTGTTCTCCATATTGGGATGGAACTCCCATGATCATGTTTTCTTTATTTTTGTGTCAATAGAGGTTCTAAAAACCATAATAAAAATGAATGGTAAGAAGGGTAACCCTGTCTTGTATTGTCTTGTTCAGTATATTGAATGGTACAGAAAGGAAACTTGAGCTAAAGATTTTTGCTGATGGGCTAGTGCATAGTGTTAGTATAGCATTCAAAAAGGATATGGGGAGACCAAATATGTGGTAAACTGCTTTCATGTAGTGCCAATTTATTCTGTCAAATGCTACTAAAAGGCTTGTTATGTGTTGGGGTTTAATAATGTCTGATTGAGGGTGCATCTGGCATTGTTTGAGACTTGACGATCTGGCACATATCTGGATTTTTGGCTGTTTTAATTAAAGTTTGGAAATAAAGGATTAGACAGTAGGAGTACCTCTACTTTACCGGCGAATAGTTCCTGGCGAACATAGCGTGTTCGCGTTCGCCGCCGGCGAACATATGCGATGTTCGGTCCGCCCCTATTAATTTACTAATACTAAGTAAAAATTACTTAGTATTAGTAAATTGTGCCCCTACTTGCAATACCGCGAGTAGGGGCATGTCTATTAAACAGTGCTCACTGTTTAAAAAAAAAAAAAAGGTCCCCCCCGGTGGGGGCCCTAAATACTAATGGGGGGGACCTATTGTCCTCCCCCCGGCCCCCACCCCTGAGCGGTGGATGGGGGCCCTAAAATGAACAATAAGGGGGGGACCTATTGTCCCCCCCGCCCCCACCCCTGCGCGGCGGGTGGGGGCCATATTGATAATGAGGGGGGGACCTACTGCCCCCCCGGCCCCCACCCCTGCGTGGCGGGTGGGGGCCATATTGATAATGAGGGGGGGACCTACTGCCCCCCCAGCCCCCACCCCTGCGCGGCGGGTGGGGGCCAAATTGATAATGGGGGGGACCTACTGCCCCCCGGCCCCCACCCCTGAGCGGCGGGTGGGGGCCATAAAGATAATGAGGGGGGGGACCTACTGTCCTCCCCCCCCGGCCCTCACCCCTGGGCGGCGGCCACAAAGATAATGGGGGGGGACCTACTGTCCTCCCCCCGGCCCCCACCCCTGGGCGGTGGGTGGAGGCCACAAAGATAATGGGGGGGGAACCTACTGTCCTCCCCCCCCCTGCCCCCACCCCTGGGCTGCGGGTGGGGGCCCTAAGTAAATTCCCCCCCGAAGGTGACTAGGGGTCCCCAAGCCCCTAGACACCCCCCCAAATAAAATGTCCCTACCTACCCCCCTCACCCTAAAAAATAGTGAGGGGGGAATAAAATAACTAACCTGTAAAATAAAAGTTAACTTACCATTCGACGTCTTCTTTTTTCTCAAATCTTCATTTTTCAGCCCCAAAAAAGGCCAAATAAAAAACCATCATAACCGTCGAATTGAAAATAAAATAAAAATCCCGAGCGCAAAAAAAAAAACCTGACGAAAAAGAAAAAGCCCGAGCGCAAAAAAATTATCCATCTTCACCCATGGAGGGCTCCACGCAGACTGAGCTCTGCAGGGCGGGGGAAGGCTTATAAAGCCTTGCCACGCCCTGCAATTAGGCAAGAACACTCTAATTGGTGGGTTTAAGCCAATCAGAGTGCTCTTTGTCATTTTACACAGCATGGGAAAATTCAAAAGAACTTTCCCACGCTGTGTAAAATGACACAGAGCACTGTGATTGGATGGCTTGAAAGTAGGTCCCCCCCCCTCATTATCTTTATGGCCCCCACCCGCCGCCCAGGGGTGGGGGCCAGGGGGGGAGGACAGTAGGTCTCCCCCCTCATTGTCTTTATGGCCCCCACCCGCCGCCCAGGGGTGGGGGCCGGAGGGGGGGAGGACAGTAGGTCCCCCCCTCATTATCTTTATGGCCCCCACCCGCCGCCCAGGGGTGGGGGCCAGAGGGGGGGTGGACAGTAGCTCCCCCCCTCATTATCAATATGGCCCCCACCCGCTGTGCAGTGGTGGGGGCCAGGGGGGCAGTAGGTCCCCCCCCTCATTATCAATATGGTCCCCACCCGCCGCGCAGGGCTGGGGGCCGGGGGGGGCAGTAGGTCCCCGCCTCATTATCAATATGGCCACCACCCACCGCGCAGGGGTGGGGGCAGGGGGGACAATAGGTCCTCCCCTTATTTTTCATTTTAGGGCCCCCACCCACTGCTCAGGGGTGGGGGCCAGGGGTGGGGGCCCCTTATTTTTTATTTTAGGGCCCCCACTCACCGCTCAGGGGTGGGGGCAGGTGGGGGACAATAGGTCCCCCCCTTATTGTTATTAGGGCCCCCACCCACCGCTCCAGGGTGGGGGTCGGGGGGGACAATATGTCCCCCCTTATTGTTATTAGGGCCACGGGGGGGACAATAAGTCCCCCCTTATTGTTATTAGGGCCCCCACCCACCGCTCAGGGTTGGGTGCCGGGGGGGACAGTAGTCCCCCTCATTATCTTTATGTCCCCCACCCGCCGCCCAGGGGTGGGGGCTGGGAGGGGAGGAGAGTAGGTCTCCTCCCCCCCTTCAACCAGTAAGAGTCCCTGTGGGTGCCCATTGAAGTCTATGGCGGTTCGCCGGGTTTGTTGGGTTCGCGAACATTTGCGGAAGTTCGCGTTCGCCGTTCGCGAACCGAAAAATTTACGTTCGCGACATCACTAATATTCACATAAAACATACATATGCAGAATCAACATACTTTAAATATAAACATAACCAAAAATCATGCAAATCCTTCCATTAGTTCAAACGTTAGTCGGAAGTCGTTTGTGACCAATGAAGCATGGCTTTTCTGCTCAAAACTAGTTCCACAGTGCCTTCTATCCTGGAGATAATTGGGAAGTAATCCAATTATCTCCAAGGACAGAGGCAACACTCCATTGAACACATGGCAGCAAAAAAGACATAAAATTACACAATGTTACAATTACTACATAAAACATATACATGCAACATATCCCCAGATAGCTTAGATCTGAGCGCACATTATTACGAAATGGCGCTCAGTTCACATACATACAGTTAAATCGCCATGGAGCCAAAGTCTTTTCCGTAGTCTTTTGTTACACGAATAGGCTCCATGGCATAGCTATCTGGGGTAGCACTACTACCATACTGAAAGTCCAGAACGTCCCAGCAGAAATACACAAATAAACCTTTCTGCAGGGGAAAATACAGCTATCAGCACATGGGCCATAGTCGGAAGACAGGAGGCTAGCCAGTAGTCCCCTCCAGGCACAAGTGGCGAAGGGCACTTCATCACACATCTTCCATTTGGGGGGAAGACTAAACAGGTACCTGACCTTCTGCCGGTCAGTACCTAGGTTAGTCGGGCAGCCCACCCACAAAGAAAAATATGCAGAGTAACCCCCCCACAATAAATGGTACTGGCCTGTAGGTTCAAGTTTGTAGTGGGACAGCGCAGCACTTTCGGTCTCTATGGTGCAGCTAGGCAAACTGTTGGTGTTGCTTGGGGGGCAGAGGCCAGCGGCGCTCTGCCCTGCTGCAAGCTCATTCACTGGGGTAAACCGTGGTAAGTCAGGCTCTGATACAGGGGAAAGGGGGAGGCAGAGGCTAACAGAGCTCTGCCCAGATGCCAGCTCTTCTGCTGGGAGGGGGTCAGAGGACTCGTTTGGGATGTAGCTGGGGAGGGGAAGTTTCGCTTACCTCCTCCTCATGGCATCCCTGCGGGGTTGGTTGGGGATCTGGACTGCCCATCCAGCTCTCTAGAGAGCGGAGGAAAGCAGTCCTTATGTGCATGGACGCTAAGTTGTCGAACTGGGTTCTAAGGAGCTGGGCCCCCTGGCCAAGGATCTGTTGTTTGGAGAGCCTTTTAGCAAAGAGCTCCATAAGCATGCGAACCTTTCTATAGCACTGAACAAGGCCCAATCCCCGATGAAGAGAGTCTTCCACACACACACCTTCCGTGTTTTTGGTGGGGCTGGACGACAGCGGGGTCATGTCACCAGCCGCTTCTGGCAGTCTGGCCATTGAGGATCCCATGCACCATAGTTTTTCCTCAGCTACCATTCCAGGACCTTCACTACCCATAGGTCAGACCACGGTAGAGGGAGCTGAGCTCGTGGAAGAGCCAGGATGCCCACATGCACAGTTTCTCCAAATTTCCTATCCAATCTATTGCATGCTGGCAGATGGTGTCATTGTCTCACAATTCTTAGAATTCGAAATAGACGCAACGCAGTGCCTCCTACACCTCCCCCTGTCCAAGATCACGGCCATTCAGAAGGAAATCTGGAGGATCCTACATCAGGATCAGATCCCACTCAGGATTCTGGGGCGAGTAGTGGGCCTCTTATCCGCATCAATCTAGGCCATCTATCCGGGACTCCTTCATTACAGGACAATGCAACGCCTGAAAGCTTGCTTCCTATGAAGAAGACCCTCCTATGACCAATTTTTTTTACCCTGCCACTGGATGTCAGGGTCGAACTCCGCTGGTGGCTACTCCACATGCTGGCTTGGAACGGCAAAGCAATCTTCAGCCCAACTCTGGCTTAGTTCTGGAGTCAGACGTGAGCATCTGGGGCTGGAGAGCAGCCTGTGCTACCACCTCCACGGGAGGCCCCTGGTCGGAAATGGAAGCGGAATATCACATCAACTGTCTGGAACTGATCGCAGGCTTGTTTGCAATTCAGAGCCTTGTGAGCCACCTATCTGATTGCTGCATTCTTGTGAGAATGGACAATGTGTCGGCAGTGCAATATATCAACTGCCTGGGGGGGCCCGCTTACAGGCGCTTTCGGAGGTGCAATTGGCATGCTGACTGCAGGAATGACCACCAGAGCTGTTGCCTGTGAATTGAATATTCATTTCTCTACCATAAGCTGTCTCTAAAGGTGTTTCAGAGAATTTGGTAATACATCCAAAAGACCTCACAACACCCTGTGTAACCACACCAGCCCAGGACCTCCACATCCAGAATCGTCTGAGACCAGCCACTCGGAGAGCTGTTGCAACAATCGGTTTGCACAACCAAAGAATTTCTGCACAAACTGTCAGAAACTGTCTCAGGGAAGCTCATCTGCATGCTTGTCATCCTCACTGACTGTAGTTCATCGTCGTAACCGACTTGAGTGGGTAAATGCTCACATTCGATGGCATCTGGTGCTTTGGAGAGGTGTTCTCTTCACTGATGAATCCCTGTTTTCACTGTACAGGGCAGATGGCAGACAGCGTGTATGGCATCGTGTGGGTGAGCGGTTTGCTGATGTCAACATTGTGGATCGAGTGGCCAATGGTGGTGGTGGTGGGGTTATGATATGGGCGGGCATATGTTATGGACAACAAACAAAGGTGCATTTTATTGATGGCTTTTTGAATGCACAGAGATACCGTGATGAGATCATGAGGCCCATCGTTGTGCCATTCAACCACGACCATCACCTCATGTTGCAGCATGATAATGCACAGCCCCATGTTGCAAGGACCTGTACACAATTCCCAGGAGCTGTGTATATTGTGCTGTGACATGGCATCACTTTCATTTTGATATTATAAATATGCTGATTATCGTGGAACATAAATGTGAAGTCTGAAATTAAACTTCGTCTGTGTGCCTGATATAATTTCTCAACACAAATTTGAGAAATTAAATAACTTCTTCCTGGCTAATCATGGCAGCATCACTTATGGGTAGCTCTGCCCCAATCAGGAACAGGACAGGAAAAAAGGTTCAATTAATCTGGACCAGACTGGGGTATAAAAGGTCCCTCCTCCTTCCATCCCACAGTCTTTTTTCCTGTCCTTTCAGGACAAACAGGACTTTTTTGGGGGGCTACCTTCCCATATGTACCCTGGGCTTCCAGATAAAGTACAGCCTCTCTTCATCTGAAGAACTCAGTAAACAGCTGTCAGGATCACCATTGTGCTTTACGTCTGGCTGGGATCAAACCTGAGTTTCCTGCATCCCAGTCGG